AAAAAAACTGTGTAATGTATTTGTACGTATATTTAGGTATATATTTTAATTATTAATGCGCATCTATAAAGATATAGTACATTTCAGTATACTACCTGTATGCAGACATGAAACATTTAAATATATATGTCAGGTATTAACATCGACAGTTATTATTTATTAGGGATAATTAAAACATAAATGCGACGATTGTTGTGTTATCATAGGTGAAAGGCTATACAATACATTCTGTATAGTAAGTTTTGTTCAAACTCGCTATCAGTGATTCCTGTGAATCTAATTGAAAATAAGTATCATCTAAAATATAAATGATATCTACACAAATCATATACATGTATATAAATATCACTTCCTGTATTATTTTATTACTGATAAATACTATGCTAACACTCCATAAAATGATGATATACATTATCATATTATTATTATGGAAATTATCAGCAAATATAATGGCTACATCAAAGTATTAAACATAATTACATTTGAGCATTTGTATTATTGCAAAATATAATGGTAATATTCAGTATAGTATCAGGATATTCATCGCATATGACATTGTATATTTCATGAATATTTAGTATATGTTATCACTATAATTATCACATAATATATATTGCATAGTATATATTTCGTTCTTTACAAAATATTATGATGGTTATGAACAGGATTGTATCAGTATAGTGAAAACATATGCAGTGTATTAGTTGCAAATATATAAAATGGTTATATTCAGCATAGTATCAGTATAATTAATTTCTATGTAGAAGTTGTAGTTTGTATTACTGACATATATACACAGCAACACACTTGTCCTTTTGGTGGCCACCATACAGAACAGAAGAAGCAGACTACTGAGCAGGACAACTTGTAAACATTACACTTCCTTTCACCCGGTCTTACACCAACATGCACCTTGAAGAGTTACAAACAATTTACACATTTTGACAGGCCTTGATATGATACACCAGGATGTATGTGTATGCTGCACCTAATGCAGGTTTCTGTCACAAAGCAGGTGCTCCCATCAATCACCCCATATCAGTGGTAGCCCGGAGTAAACCACTTATATTTTGAGAAAGTTTATTTCATACTACCCTGCAGATAATTACAGGAAGTAAATAAAATATATTCGAAAAGATACCCTACATTGAGCATGAAGATCAAGTGAAGTATTTTTTATGAATGCATGGTTATTCAGACATTTATTTTAATAAATTCATGAAAATAAAAAGGTAAAGCTTTTGTAACATTTTTGTAATTCTGATTGATCAGACAACACTTGTTCACATTTGTAAATGAAGGTAACTTTGACACAATTTCCTGGGATATAATGCATCAGGTAGCACATTATTCCGAAATTTGAAAATCTTCTCTTTGAAATGAAACAAAATATAAGTGATTTAGTATACAGGTAAAATATCACCACAGCCTTGGTATTTCCAACATTCTAAAAATCTAATATCCATTTGCCGACCTCTTGAACAAATAAACAACACAGCATCCATCTAAATAAGATCATTCAACATGCTCAACTACTGACCATGATCTACCCAACCGTACCCAAAATATCATGAAAGTCCTTACTCAGTCCAATCTCTATTGGGATATATTCCTCACTATCTATGATGAAAGATTACAGTGGTTATAAGTCAGGTAAACAAAGACTGGAAGTACTGGCAAAGATAAGGATATATACAATACTGTACAAAGATTGCTTTCCTTTAAGTGTGAATTAGTGACTTTCACGGTGATTGTAATTACTACCAAAGTTTATTTTGTATTAAAAATGAAATATAATATATCATTAAAGTTGTAATTTGGAATACTTTCATGATTGCTAAGTCAGAAATCCAATTTTGTTTCTGCTTGAAACCATTACAATCAGGAAATAATCAGATAAAAATCAGGAAGGAAACAATATTGCACAGACTCTTTTAGAAAATTACTTTAAAAGTTGTATGTGATTATAGGCTACTGAACACATTATAACTGATTTAATAGGGTGGAATGTAAACAATGCTAAACATATTTTCATTGACACAATTGTTACATGAATAGCCAGCTGAAACCAACCTGTATACCGTATCGCCAAATTTACATATAATCTTAGCAATTACTACTCTGACTTACAAATGTAACTCGACTACTGAAACAAAGTTGAGTTAGTAAGCAAAGACAACATATATCATGTATTAGAATAAGTCTGCTTTGATTATAACATCATTTAATATATTATGAAGAAAATAAGCTGTTATTTCATTAGTAACAGAGGTCAGTATATTATGTTAAAATCAGTATGAGAAAATTACCTAGTTACTAAATTAGTGCTAGATTGATTTGATAAGTAAAGGGGAGATTTAGTGTACCGGTATGTAATTTTGAAAGCACAGCCACAAGACATGTTGCTTTATTGGAGTCAAGACATCAATGAACAGAGTAAAAAGCCATTTTAAACATTTGAATTTCGAATTTTTTTTTTTGAGATTAAACAATTCAATTTTCAAAATTCTGTTATTATAAAATGTCATTCCTACCCTTAAACACAGTTTTGAAACATTAGATATGATTTTATTGTTTTATTTTTTCCTCCAAAATCACATGGCACAAAACGAAGAATTCCTCCTGGTCTTTTAGAGAGGCATCGCTAATACAGGAATACTATTTTCTTTTGATATCACTGGCACGACATGTTAATATCTAAAACTGTGTTTTTATTTCGACAAACAGTATTAATTTGTATAATTTTAAATTCTAAAAATGCAAACTATATGTTAGAAACTAGTAACTGAACACATTAACATAAAGTATTGATTCATCTAAACAACTACACACTGTTAAACGTCTGAACCCACTGACCTCAGTTGTTGGTTGAGGAAGACCATACAGGTCCTGTTTGATTCTATTAGCATCTTGTACTTCTTTACTCTGGAAAGTAAGTCATTTAGTGCATGCATTAAGGTGTGATAGAAACAAACAAAACTATCTAAAACAATCTTCAATTAACCAAAACAGAAATAAAATGTTTGATATTCAAATATTGTGCTGAAAACAATAATCTATTTGGAAATAAATGTAAGCATACTTGCATGCATTTATCTTTTTATTGCATTGTAAATTAACACATGCTCAATAAACAATTAAAAATTGTTACATAATGGCTGTATAAAGAAAGAGATACACAAGGTCAAAGTCCTCATATGTTTACTTTTGTATTCGTGTATACAATAATCTAAACATAATGACTGAATGTTGTCACTTTATACTCCACATACTGTTTACCCGGAAATTTCCCAGGTTTTAAGAACAATATTATACATTTATTCAATACAGGCCAAGGGCGAAATTAAAACTGGGCAAATAGGGATTTCAATTGCAAGAAGCGCAAATTTTGTTTAGCGAAACTTTCGGGTATGCAGTATTACATAAAACTTTATTAGAACATCATTAAGGTATATTTGCTGCAGTCAATACTATTTGAAATGACTTTTAATGAATCTGGAAGTGAAGACATACTCATCATGTATTTGTCACAAAACAAATAAACACAAAAAACAAATTTGATTAAGCCAACAAAGGTCTCCAATGCAGGTTTTAGAAAAGTGATCAAGAGTGACTCTTAGAGTGACACTCACCTTGGACTCATACAGTGATATTATACAGGAATTATTTATACACAGTAGGTGAGGTTCTGCATGCATTTGCGTCCACCTAGTGTTAAACTACTAACCTTCTTTTTCTGGACCTTTTTCTTCGAGTCGGCTCTATCTTCCTTTTGATAAATAGTGTCTATCCTTGTCATGTACTGATTCTCCTTGAACTAAACAAATGGGAAACTATAGATGTTTACTGATGCAAGGGAGATAACTCCATTTTTTCCCCCTGTTTTTGGCATTTTTGTTATGTGTATCATAATAATAAAGAAACGATAATACATCTGAATAGCTAAAATAGGATAACCCATAGGAGTAATTTTTGTTAAAAAAGCTATCTCTTTGTTAATCAATAAATGAATGACTTCACCTTTTCAGACTACTATCATTTAGATTCAACCTTAGCTTTATACCCTATACCATTACCATATATTTAAAATATTTAAAGTTTGAGAGATTCATATTGAACCTCAAAAAAGGGAAGTGAAACATCATTTGTACATTAGTATTCAATCATACCTCCATGTCAGAAGAGCTGTAGGGGTCCACAACAGTTGAGCGTGTCTGTGTGGAGGAAAATCGGGTCGAGGATGAAGCGGGCGAGATTTGCGGGTTGTAATATGTGCTAGCAGTTGGTCGACTGTACTGGGTATACTGAACAGGCTGGGACATCTGACCGGTAACTGGTTTGTGTCGCTCACGAT